ATTGGATGTCCGAGATGAATGAAATTGTCAACTGTGTGTTTTGTTATTAACTGATCAGTTTTTCAGAATTTTTTTTTTTTCGTGTTCTCGTTCCCTCCGTATTCTGAGAAGAAAATTCTAGTAATGTGTTTATATTGATGTGTTGTGTTCTGCATCACTGTAAGTGTTCAAACCTTTTTGTTCTGTGATTTTGCACCTATTATTTTTTATATTTCATTAAACAAATTCACTCTTAGTGCAATTTTTAAGTTCTTCTTTTAAAGTAAATCATTCTTTTGCTTGTTCAGTAAGTGTTGTTTAAGCTGCAGTTAAGAGTTAAAGTGTTCACTCAGTTCATTCCTTGATATATTTTTTTTCTTGTAAACTGTATTTTCTTGTGTGTGTAATTTTTTTTTTATCATTGCATCATTGACTCATTTTGCAATAATTCTTCTGCAAACATTGGGTTGCCATTTAATTTTTTTCTTGCAGAAATTTTAAGTAGTGTTGTGCAGTACTTTTGATTAGCAATTGTTATTTGCAATATTGCTAGAGTTTATTTCAGTGCAGTTTCTTATGCTCTTTTCTGTGCATAATATTTTATTCTTTGTGTGCCATTTTATTTTATTTTTAGTGAATTGTTTTCCCAGTTTGTTTTAATTTTGCACAAGATTTATTGAGTCCAATTTAACATTTTTGATTGATTCATCATTTTATTGTTGAATTTCCCTATTGCATTGAGAGTAGTAGGTTGGTAGACAGCAACCACCCAGGGAAGTACTACCGTCCTGCCAGATGACTGTGAAACAGAAACCTGTAACTGTTTTGCATGATGGTAGGATTGCTGGTTTCTTTTTCTGTCTCATAAACACGCTAGATAATAGGGATATCTTGCTACTCCTACTTACACTTTGGTCACACTTCACAGACACGCACATGCATATATATATACATACATCTAGGTTTTTCTCCTTTTTCTAAATAGCTCTTGTTCTTCTTTATTTCTTCTATTGTCCATGGGGAAGTGGAAAAGAATCTTTCCTCCGTAAGCCATGCGTGTCGTATGAGGCGACTAAAATGCCGGGAGCAATGGGCTAGTAACCCCTTCTCCTGTAGACATTTACTAAAAAAGAGAAGAAGAAAAACTTTATAAAACTGGGATGCTTGAATGTGCATGGATGTAGTGTGGATGACAAGAAACAGATGATTGCTGATGTTATGAATGAAAAGAAGTTGGATGTCCTGGCCCTAAGCGAAACAAAGCTGAAGGGGGTAGAGGAATTTCGGTGGGGGGAAATAAATGGGATTAAATCTGGAGTATCTGAGAGAGTTAGAGCAAAGGAAGGGGTAGCAGTAATGTTGAAGGATCAGTTATGGAAGGAGAAAAGAGAATATGAATGTGTAAATTCAAGAATTATGTGGATTAAAGTAAAGGTTGGATGAGAAAAGTGGGTCATAATAAGCGTGTATGCACCTGGAGAAGAGAGGAATGTAGAGGAGAGAGAGAGATTTTGGGAGATGTTAAGTGAATGTATAGGAGCCTTTGAACCAAGTGAGAGAGTAATTGTGGTAGGGGACCTGAATGCTAAAGTAGGAGAAACTTTTAGAGAGGGGTACCAGGTGTAAATGATAATTGGAGCCCTTTGATTGAACTTTGTATAGAAAGGGGTTTAGTTATAGGTAATACATATTTTAAGAAAAAGAGGATAAATAAGTATACAAGATATGATGTAGGGCGAAATGACAGTAGTTTGTTGGATTATGTATTGGTAGATAAAAGACTGTTGAGTAGACTTCAGGATGTACATGTTTATAGAGGGGCCACAGATATATCAGATCACTTGCTAGTTGTAGCTACACTGAGAGTAAAAGGTAGATGGGATACAAGGAGAATAGAAGCATCAGGGAAGAGAGAGGTGAAGGTTTATAAACTAAAAGAGGAGGCAGTTAGGGTAAGATATAAACAGCTATTGGAGGATAGATAGGCTAATGAGAGCATAGGCAATGGGGTCGAAGAGGTATGGGGTAGGTTTAAAAATGTAGTGTTAGAGTGTTCATCAGAAGTTTGTGGTTACAGGAAAGTGAGTGCAGGAGGGAAGAGGAGCGATTGGTGGAATGATGATGTAAAGAGAGTAGTAAAGGAGTAAAAGTTAGCATATGAGAAGTTTTTACAAAGTAGAAGTGATGCAAGGAGGGAAGTGTATATGGAGAAAAAGAGAGAGGTTAAGAGAGTGGTGAAGCAATGTAAAAAGAGAGCAAATGAGAGAGTGGGTGAGATGTTATCAACAAATTTTGTTGAAAATAAGAAAAAGTTTTGGAGTGAGATTAACAAGTTAAGGAAGCCTAGAGAACAAATGGATTTATCAGTTAAAAATAGGAGAGGAGAGTTATTAAATGGAGAGTTATTAAATGGAGAGTTGGAGGTATTGGGAAGATGGAGGGAATATTTTGAGGAATTGTTAAATGTTGATGAAGATAGGGAAGCTGTGATTTCGTGTATAGGGCAAGGAGGAATAACATCTTGTAGGAGTGAGGAAGAGCCAGTTGTGAGTGTGGAGGAAGTTCATGAGGCAGTAGGTAAAATGAAAGGGGGTGAGGCAGCCGGGATTGATGGGATAAAGATAGAAATGTTAAAAGCAGGTGGGGATATAGTTTTGGAGTGGTTGGTGCAATTATTTAATAAATGTATGGAAGAGGGTAAGGTACCTAGGGATTGGCAGAGAGCATGCATAGTTCCTTTGTATAAAGGCAAAGGGGACAAAAGAGAGTGCAAAAATTATAGGGGGATAAGTCTGTTGAGTATACCTGGTAAAGTGTATGGTAGAGTTATTATTGAAAGAATTAAGAGTAAGATGGAGAATAGGATAGCAGATGAACAAGGAGGCTTTAGGAAAGGTAGGGGGTGTGTGGACCAGGTGTTTACAGTGAAACATATAAGTGAACAGTATTTAGATAAGGCTAAAGAGGTCTTTGTGGCATTTATGGATTTGGAAAAGGCATATGACAGGGTGGATAGGGAGGCAATGTGGCAGATGTTGCAGGTGTATGGTGTAGGAGGTAGGTTACTGAAAGCAGTGAAGAATTTTTACGAGGATAGTGAGGCTCAAGTTAGAGTATGTAGGAAAGAGGGAAATTATTTCCCAGTAAAAGTAGGCCTTAGACAAGGATGTGTGATGTCACCGTGGTTGTTTAATATATTTATAGATTGGGTTGTAAGAGAAGTAAATGCGAGGGTCTTGGCAAGAGGCGTGGAGTTAAAAGATAAAGAATCACACATAAAGTGGGAGTTGTCACAGTTGCTCTTTGCTGATGACACTGTGCTCCTGGGAGATTCTGAAGAGAAGTTGCAGAGATTGGTGGATGAATTTGGTAGGGTGTGCAAAAGAAGAAAATTAAAAGTGAATACAGGAAAGAGTAAGGTTATGAGGAAAACAAAAAGATTAGGTGATGAAAGATTGGATATCAGATTGGAGGAAGAGAGTATGGAGGAGGTGAATGTATTCAGATATATGGGAGTGGACGTGTCAGCGGATGGGTTTATGAAAGATGAGGTGAATCATAGAATTGATGAGGGGAAAAGGGTGAGTGGTGCACTTAGGAGTCTGTGGAGACAAAGAACTTTGTCCTTGGAAGCAAAGAGGGGAATGTATGAGAGTATAGTTTTTCCAACGCTCTTATATAGGTGTGAAGTATGGGTGATGAATGTTGCAGTGAGGAGAAGGCTGGAGGCAGTGGAGATGTCATGTCTGAGGGCAATGTGTGGTGTGAATATAATGCAGAGAATTCGTAGTTTGGAAGTTAGGAGGAGGTGCGGGATTACCAAAACTGTTGTCCAGAGGGCTGAGGAAGGGTTGTTGAGGTGGTTTGGACATGTAGAGAGAATGGAGCGAAACAGAGTGACTTCAAGAGTGTATCAGTCTGTAGTGGAAGGAAGGCGAGGTAGGGGGTCGGCCTAGGAAAGGTTGGAGGGAGGGGGTAAAGGAGGTTTTGTTTGTGAGGGGCTTGGACTTCCAGCAGGCATGCGTGACCGTGTTTGATAGGAGTGAATGGAGACAAATGGTTTTTAATACTTGATGTGGTGTTGGAGTGTGAGCAAAGTAACATTTATGAAGGGATTCAGGGAAACCGGCAGGCCGGACTTGAGTCCTGGAGATGGGAAGTACAGTGCCTGCACTCCGAAGGAGGGGTGTTAATGTTGCAGTTTAAAAACTGTAGTGTAAAGCACCCTTCTGGCAAGACAGTGATGGAGTGAATAATGGTGAAAGTTTTTCTTTTTCGGGCCACCCTGCCTTGGTGGGAATCGGCCAGTGTGATGATAAAAAAAAAAAAAATATTGAGAGTAAAGACAACTCACTGTGTCAGGCATTCCTGGCACTAAAATAAAAAAAAATTCTGTTCATTAATTGTGTTCCCAGACTTCACACGTATATTCCATTTTGATTTTTTGTTCACAAAAAAAAAAATTTTATTCACAAAAAATTGATGATTCACTCTTGTACAATATTATAATAATTATATAAATAATATCAGCTCATTCATGAATGCATATTAGAGCTGCTTGTTGATGCATATTGGATGCGTGAAGTGATTTGTTTACCCTTGAACATTGACAAAAGTTGAATATATCAGCTGTTTTGAACTCAATTTCAAGCTATTTTCAGTCCTAAAACCAATCGATTTCTGTAATACATCTTTCATTCCATCAAATGAGGTCAAGAAACCGAGAATATAACCAGAAAAGCCACATAAAAATGCACCACAAAGTTGCAGTTTTAACCCAAAAACACGTTCACTATATTTTTTTCTCATGCTCTGCGTGCTGCAGGATTATTCTAATATGGTGCACACTTACCACACAGACCCATTCTCATCCCAGCCCAAGTTTACCATTCACAGCTTATCTGAGTGAGCCGAGCTCATCAAAGGCACAGTCGGCAAAAGGGTTAAAACAACTTGTATGAAAGGTTGTACAATTACACAGCTTTATTATTATGCTTAATTTAGGGTGTGGCTTGTTACAGGTGTGTGGCATCCACTATACCTACTTGGAGGTGAGACCATGTAAACCTCGTATACAAAAGTTACGGGAACTGCTAGCAGAGGTGCCTTACTCTGGGCCACAGAGTGAAGACCAGCAGGGACATGGACAAAGGTATTTTTGTAGTTAATTTAGTTATTACACTTAATTTGTAACTGGAGTATTTTTTGTTGATATATAGAGAGAATTATTATTAAAAATATTACAATTGCAGAGAAACATATAAGATTTAGGAAGTGTAGAGGATGTGTTGATGAAGGGTTTACATTGAAGCATACAGGGCTCATCATTAACCCATAAACGGTCCAAACGTTTATATACAGTGGTCCCTCGATAATCGTCGGGCTCAATAGTCGTCCTTTTCAGAAATCGTTGCGTTATTTTCATCCAAACATTGGCTCACAAATGGTCTGTTGACTCGCTAATTGTTGTTTGTCCTGGATGCGTACTCACGGCTCTGAGCCGCCTCGGCCTCCCTTCCCAGCCAGTGAGCGACAGTCCCCTCACTTGTTCATACGAAATATTTCATAATATTTCATTAATTTTAGTGCTTGCAAGTGCTAAATAAGCTACCATGGCTCCAAAGGAAGCTCCTAGTGCCAAGCCTTTGGTAAAGAAGGTGAGAAATACGATTGAATTTAAGAAAAACATCATTGAACAATATGAAAGTGGCGTATGTGTGGCTGAACTGGCCAGGATGTATAACAAACCCCGTACAACCATATCTTCCATCGTGGCAAAGAAAAAGGAAATCAAGGAAGCTGTTGTTGCTTGGAGAAAATTGTGGCCAGATTGTGTCCACAAGAGGGATTTTGAAGGGTTTGTGGCTGACCCTGATGAGCCTATGTCAGTTGTGAAATCTGTTGTGGCATTGGGGAGTTCCATGGGGTTGGATGTAAGTTTGGAGGATGTGGAAGAGTTGGTGGAGGACCACAACGAAGAGCTAACCACTGAGTAGCTGCAAGAGCTTCAGCAGGAGCAGCAACAGATTTCAGCTCAGAATCTTGCTGCAGAGGAGGAGGAAGAGAGATGGAAGAAAGTGCCTTCAGAAATTAAGGAGATTTTTGAAATGTGGGGTAGCATGGAAAGATTTATGGAGAAACATCACCCAGAGAAGGATGTTGCAAGCCATATCGGCAACTTGTACAGTGACAGAGTCTTGGCTCATTTTAGGGTAGTTTTAAAGAGATGCCAGAAACAGAGCTCTCTGGACAGTTTTTTTGTGAGACAGGACTCCAGTGACTCTCAAGCTGGTCCTAGTGGCATTAAGAAACAGAGAAGAGAAGTAACCCCAGAAAAGGACTTGGTACCTGAGGTGTTGATGGAAGGGGATTCCCCTTCCAAACAGTAACTAATCCAATCTGTCTCCTTCTCCAGTCTTCCATACACTAAGAAGAATCACCAATAAAGGTAAGTGTTATGCTGTTAATGTTTCATTCATCATGTGCCACTGTATTGTTTATGTACTACATCTATATTTCATGTAAAAAAAATTTTTGTTTTAATACTTCTGGGTGTCAGGAACGGATTAACTGCATTTACATTATTTCTTATGGGGAAAATTGATTCAAAAATTGTCTATTTTGATAATCATCGCACTTCCAAGAACGGATTAACAACGATAAATGAGGGACCACTGTACGTTCTTACTGCTAGTGCTCCAAACGTATATAAATTTTTTATTTTTCCTGCCTTCAACTTTGGCACAATTAGCCTGAGATGCCTTGTCAGCATAGAATGGGTCTTAACATTCAGTGTGCACTGTATTAAAAAAAAATCTGGGACCACTTAGTACCTTGTGGGAACACCAGTTCAAATGAGCACCAACTAGAGCAAACAGCATGGCAGACACCTGATATTCACTGATTTCTTGTAGTATTAACTCTCCCATTTTAAGAGGAAAATGATTTTGACTCCAAGTTTAGTGGCTTTGAGGTTGATGTGGCCATAAGTGGTTGGGGAAATAAAAAAAAAAAAACTTGATAATATCCCATGTGCAATATTTGTGCAACATCCTTTGAGAATGTTTTATAACCTATGCCCTATGTAAACAGAAACAATTCTGGAATGTAATACTTGTTCAGCAGGCTGGCTGGCTGGCTGACTGGCTGATTGGCTGGCTGGTCAGCTGTGTGGTTGGCTGGCTGCTGGCAGCCTGGCTCTATCTCTGTTTGTCTGTCTGTATCTCTGCCTATCTCTGTCTGTCTCTATCTTTGTCTCTGTATCTGTCTCTGTCTATCTCTGTATATCTCTTTCTATTTGTCTCTGTCAATCTTTGTCTCACAGGTATACATAAATACAAGTATACATAGTGTAAATTACCTAGGATAACCCAAAAAATCCAGACAAAGTGCTATACTCTGCTTGAAGATATGAGTAAATGTGATGACACAGTCTTGTGGCTATGAGGCAGAGAGCTAGATGGATAGACAGATAGACAGGGAGCTTGACAGACAGACAAACATGTTTGTGTACCAGCGAAAACAAAGCGAGGGCCGACGCTCATCAAATGTCACCTCTAATCTTATCTTATCAAGTCTTTTCACCAAACTCTCGTGTATGCTCATCAAATGTCAGCTCTTATCTAATGTTATCTCATCTTATCACGTCGCTGTCAGGGGGTGGACTGAGACTTGTTTTTCATGTTTCAAGGGAAGAAGAAGAACTACTACTAGTACTGCTGCTGCTGCCGCCACCACTTCTTCTTCTTCTATACTCCCACGTGTCCAAAACATTGGTGGGACCTATAAATACTTTGTATATATTCCAAGACAATAGTAAATGGCCAAGGCAGGTGTACATGTCCACCTGTCAGTGTGTTTGTGACAATTTGAGCACAATTTCTGTACCTAATACTAGTGTCAGAACACAGATTGGTTATGAAATGACAAGAACTACTATAAATTGTAATTATCAGAACAGAAAATTTATATAAAATAATATGAAAAAAGAAAAAAAAGGTATATTGGCAACACTTCTGCAAGCGGCAGGATTCGATGTTGCTGTCACGTGAGCATCCAGTGCCAACTTCTCGACTTCATATCTCTGTAAGTACTGACCCTAATTTTTTTTTTATCCTATAACACTTAGAAAAATGTGTTATTTATTTCCATAAAAAAAAATTATTTTTCAAAATATTCAAGGCACTGGGGTAGTAAATGTATATATATATATGTTTGGACCGTTTATGGGTTAAAGTTTGCCAGGTGCAAGTAACCAGTGTTCTCCAGTATTCATAGTACCCTACCTTGGTAGGTTTATTGATGAAACAAAAAGTTATACTGGATTTCTTGTCTTCTGGCTCCATCTTACGTGCTTTGTAGGCTTGTGTGAGGGGTGGTTTGTATTGTGGTCTTCCTGTACTGTGTATTCTTGAGGGCTGAATTTTTTGCACATTTTTGGTTATTGATGAATTAGTCACTGACAAGAGAAAATTACAAGTTCATTGAATTATGTAAGGCAAGACATCAAATGAAGGAAATAGTAGAAAGCACCATCCAGGGAAGCCACAGTTGTGTCTTAACACTGGTGTTTTTGCAATTGTTGTGAAACTAACATGTTTGCCATTGTATAATGGTTGTATCTCCGTTTCTCTCATTATAATTATCATCAGCTGCTTATCAAAATACAGTTCAAAGAATTAAAGTTCACTGACATCATTTTCCAGCCTTCAGTCAGGCTGGATTCCACTTTGTGTATTGTCAAGTTGATTGGGATTGGAAACAAAATTTGCATTTTTTTGTTAGTCCCAGATGCAGTCTGGTGGTGGTTGCTGGATGTGAGCGGCTGGTTGTGGTAGTTGCGTTAGTCATGGTTGTGTGTATGAATAATGGAGGCTGCCTTGGTTCATAACTGTGTTGGGTGTGGGCTGTGCCTCTCAACCTGGGCTGGCACTAGTGCTGCATGCCTTGTTGTGCCACCACCTGCTGCTGCATTCAGCTCCAGCAGGTAGTTGCACTATCCTTGTTATCACTAAGTGTTGCTGGTACTGGGTCCTGGGGATGTACTCCATCCCATGAGAACAGCAATGGGAACGCTGCCAGGCTGTGTGTGGTGCTGTGTAAATTGATGCTATACAGGTGAATAATTTTCATCACTAGACTGGTCATCTATTACTAGGAAATCAAAGTCCACATCACTGTGATCACATTTCTCACATCTGAGCCCAGGTCACAGGAAATTATAAGCTTTCACTTACAGCATTGTGGAAGTGAAGGTGTTCCAGATGAACTAATCCCAGATGTGGATGGCTGTGGGACAACGGGATTTTTCACTGATATTTCTGGTATCTTGAGTATTACTTTTGGTCATTGTATGTTCAGAACCAGAGCTAATTATCTGTTCTAATCCTTGTTGTTTGAGCTGTCACTGGGGAATAAATCCCATTCAGTTCTCCCGAGAGTGACATCTTTGTGCCTGTGCAGCATAGCGAACAAGGTGTTCCCACAGTGCACTGCAGCACCCCAGATTTTTTTTTATGCTGTGCACACTGACCGTAGACCCATTCTTTCATATATAGGTTTACCAGACATCTCGTGTCAAATTTGAAATGGCTGGAATTTATGAGCAGATCTTCATAAGCGACCTTCGCATCAGTAATGTACAGGTACCATCCGACCTACGACCAAGCTTGGTTCCGACCAACTGGTCGTAAGTCATAATGGACATAAGTCGAACCTTACTCCTGAATATCAACATCACACTTTTGTATGATTTTATTTTATTGTTTTATTTTGGTATTTCATTTTTTACTTTACTTTTTATGCTGTTAGTACTGTATTTCCCAGAAATATGGTCGTAACTCGAGTGGACGTATGTCGAGCAGGTCATAAGTAAGATGGTAGGTGTACATCTATGTACGAGACAGTGAAAAGGTTAATAACAGGCCTGTCTCAGTGTTCAAAATCTAGATCTAATGCTTTTTTTTCTATGGTGGCATAGTTCCTTTGTGGTATAATTTGAGTTTTGTGCTAAACTAGTATATTGGATGGAGTGTGCCACTGTTTGTCCTCTTCTGTAAGAGGACAGCTCAAATGGCATGATCATTTACATCAGTCTGCAATGTGAACAGTATAGAGAAACATAGCATCTGCCAATTTTGTCAAAGTTGGGAACCATAGCACTCATAGTACTAGGGGGAGAAAGCACAACTTTGTACTACCCACAGTCAGTGGCCAGGCTTCAAACACCTTTTATTGTACAGCAATAAAGGAATGGAACAGACTGCCTGCACATGTCAAAGCCAGTCATAGCATGAACTAGTTCAAGAAGAGTGCCAAAAGGTGTCTGATGAATGTAGCTACAGAAGAGGAGGGGAATGATTTTTTTATTTTTAGCTAACACACGTGTAATTTTACCTTATTCCTAGTAATGACCCTCGTATTGTAGATAGTCTTAATGACCCTCGTGTAGTAGATAGTCTTTTTAGTATGATAATAAGATGTTATCTTCATTATAAAATAATAATAAGATTTTTTTTATTTTCATCAAACCGGCCGTATCCCACCAAGGCAGGGTGGCCCCCCCAAAAAAACGAAAGTTTCTCTTTTTAAATTTAGTAATTTATATAAGAGAAGGGGTTACTAGTCCCTTGCTCCCGGCATTTTAGTCTCCTCTTACAACACGCATGGCTTATGGAGGAAGAATTCTGTTCCACTTCCCCATGGAGATAATAGGAAATAAACAAGAACTAGATAGAAAATAGCAGAAAACCCAGAGGGGTGTGTGTATATATATGCTTGTACATGTATGTGTAGTGTGACCTAAGTGTAAGTAGAAGTAGCAAGACGTACCTGAAATCTTGTATGTTTATGAGACAGAAAAAAGACACCAACAATCCTACCATCATGTAAAACAATTACAGGTTTCCGTTTTACACTCGCTTGGCAGGACGGTAGTACCTCCCTGGGCGGCAGCTGTCTACCAACCTACTGCCTAGGAATAATAAGATATAACCTTTATATTATAATAATAAGGTAAAAGGACCCCAATGGAAATAAGTCACTCTGTCTGACTTTTTTGTGTTATCCCAGGCTCTCTACACATATGCTGCTATGTATGATAATCTATGTAACTGTATTTGTGTATACCTGAATAAACTTACTTACAGTGGAACACAAGTTCACTGGTGGTCTGACAAAATGAAATCTACCTGCTACTAGTCAATTACTTGAGAGGAACAGCAACTTTTATACAATTGGTATAGAACTTCCTGTAATAGCCTTCCATACTGAAGAAGTGCTGCACTTCTTTCCTATCCCTAGAGACTTGCAACTGAACAATTGCCTTTATTTTTCCATCAGGCAACACCTGACCCTGTCCTACTACAGAGCCTAAATGTGTGATTCTGGCCTGTGCAGATTTTTAGTTTGCTAGATTTATTGTAAACTAATCTTTCTTTCTTTCAACACACCGGCCATATCCTACTGAGGCGGGGTGGCCCAAAAGGAAAAACAGAAGTTTCTCCTTTCACATTTAGTAATATATACAGGAGAAGGGGTTGCTAGCCCCTTGCTCCTGGCATTTTAGTCACCTCTTACAACACGCATGGCTTACGGAGGAAGAATTCTGTTCCACTTACCCATGGAGATAAGAGGAAATAGACAAGAACAAGAACTAGAAAGAAGATAGAAGAAAACCCAAAGGGGTATGTATATACAGTGGACCCCCGACTAACGATGAGCTCCCAACTCGACCAATTATGTAAGAGTATTTTTGTAAGTGCTTTTGTAGGTGTATTTTTGGGGGTCTGAAACGGACTAATCTAATTCACAATATTCCTTATGGGAACAAATTTGGTCTATAACAGCACCCGAACAGACTTCTGGATTGAAATAATATCGTTAGTCGGGGTCCACTGTATATGCTTGTACATGTACGTGTAGTGTGACCCAAGTGTAAGTAGAAGTAGCAAGACGTATCTGAAATCTTGCATGTTCATGAGACAGAAAAAAGGACACCAGCAATCCTACCATCATGTAAAACAATTACAGGCTTTCGTTTCACACTCACTTGGCAGGAGGGTAGTACCTCCCTGGGCGGTTGCTGTCTACCAACCTACTACCACAGGATGGTAGTACCTCCCTGGGCGGCAGCTGTCTACCAACCTACTACCACAGGATGGTAGTACCTCCCTGGGCGGTTGCTGTTTACCAACCTACTACCAAGATTGTAAACTAATGTTGTTTTCTAATTTTTTGAACATTTCTCTCAGATGTAGAAGTGTCCAGTTATTGTTATACAACAAGTCATCAAGGTAAGCTTCTATCCATTCAACATCTTCTGTCAGCTGATGCAAAGTGAACTGAAATGTGGCAGATGCATTCCTCATCTTGAATAGTGTCATGAGGTCGTTGTAGAGACTATAACACAAGGTAAAAGCGGCAGCCTCTCTTGCTTGAAGGGTAAAGGGTTCTTGGTAGTATCCATCACGTAAATCCAGACCACTAACATAGGTTGTCCTCACCCTTCCTGCTCCCCAAGTCCAGCCTACCCCTCTTCTTTTTCTTTGCAAAAAATAAAAAAGGGCTCTCTTGGGACAGCATTTTAACAATGTAGTGGAGATTTAAGCAGAATCATAGGCCACACTAGATGCCATTAGGAAAGAAGTATCCAAAAATGTTTTAAGAAGTAGCAAAGGTACTGGGATCAATGTGGAACCTCCCAAAGAAAGTACCTCATGGGAGACAACTTTAACTTGGCAATTAGGTAAGCCTACATATATTTTTCATGTTAATTCAGGAACTTTCTGATTGCAACTCATACGAGTTCAAAGGGATTGTAACTAAGAATTTCTTGTTCACAATAACAAATGACAATAAGAGTAATCCTTCATCCCAGTCTTTTGAACATTCAGTGCAGAAAACTTGCATCACAGACTTCAGTGTCTCGGAGAAGCGTTCTAACATACCTTGAAGATAAGAATGATAACTGATGGAGAAAACAGAATAAACTCCCACATTTGACAAAGCCTCCCTAAAATATCTTTAATGTGAAATTAAAGCCTTGATCTGACTGAATTTTCCTAAGAAGTTCAACTTTTGAGAAGAAATGTACTAGAGCTCAAATGATGGAGTGAGAGTTTATCTTCCTCATAGAGGATGTCTTCAAGATAGTGGGTGAAGCAGTCCATAATAGTAAGCAAATACTGGTTGCTGGTATGTAAATAGCAGCAGAGTTGTAGCTAATAAGCATAATTTAGTATTTTTGTGAAGGATGAGTTGTAATGACCTGAAAATAAACAGGTCCAGGATGCAGCAACTCCAGCAGTGCAAGACAAACACCCAGTGTTTGTTACACTGAAACACTACCAGACACAGTACCACTGATGGTAATACGACCCTTAAGTAGAGGACTTATTTCATTGTATTTAGCCTTTGTCTGACCATATTTTGTTCTTGTTTTTGAAATCCATTACATAGGCATTCGTTACATAGGAAGTTTATATATTGTACATTCACAGTTATAGATAAAAAAAAATGGATGTCACATAACAGTGAATTCCCATAAAGAGAACCCACATATTTTAAAGGAAAACCTGTACTGGCTCTGTTGGCAGTGCACTTGCCTCTCACACTGAGTGCCTGTGGTTCAATCCCCAGCATGGGTGGAAACTTCGTGTGTTTCCTTACACCTGCTGTCCCTGTTCACCTAGAAGCAAGTAGGTACCTGGGTGCTAGTCACCTTACACCTGCTTCCCCTGTTCACCTAGCAGTAAGTGGGTATGTGGGTGCTAGTCACCTTATACCTGTTGTCCCTGTTCACCTAGCAGTAAGTGGGTATGTGGGTGCTAGTCACCTTATACCTGTTGTCCCTGTTCACTTTGCAGTAAGTAGGTACCTGAGTGCTAGGCACCTTACAACTACTGCCCCTGTTCACCTAGCAGTAAGTAGGTATGTGGGTGCTAGTCACCTTACACCTCCTGCCTCTGTTCACTTAGCAGTAAGTAGGTAACCGCGTGTTTGTCAACTGGTGTGGGTTACACATTGAGGAACAAGATTGAAGGACCCTAATGGAGATAAGACAGACAGTCGCCAATGATGCACTGACTTTCTTGGGTTATCCTGACCAGCTAACCCTCCGGGTTAAAAAATCTGAGCAAATCTTTTTTTATTTTACTCGTTCATTATTATTTTTAAGACACTGGCCATCTTCCACTGATGTAATGTAACTCCCAGAAAATAGAATAAGCATTCACCATCATTCATTCAATCACTGTCTTATTATTAGTGTTGATATTATTGTTATTATCCAGTGATATTCTTTGTTTTTAGACACCCTTAATGTGCTAACAGGAACCTCTTAATGAACACAGTAGTCAGTGTATAAATGTTGCAATTAAAAGATTTGAGTTTATTTCCTTAGCAGGGTGAGATGTATGGGTTACACCGTTTCATGACAGATGGTGTAGTCACACACACAGTACACAAACCATTCCTCCTTCAGGAGCTAGAGATGGTGGTCACACACAGAGTACACAAAGCATTCCTCCTTCAGGAGCTAGAGATGGTGGTCACACACAGAGCACACAAAGCATTCCTCCTTCAGGAGCTAGAGATGGTGGTCACACAGTGAGTACACAAAGCATTCCTCCTTCAGGAGCTAGAGATGGTGGTCACACACACAGAGTACACAAACCATTCCTCCTTCAGCAGCCAGAGATGGTGTAGCCACACACAGAGTACATGCATCATCATCTGCTTAACATCTGCCTCACAACAAAAAATAATTAAACAAAAACCATTGCTCCGGTTCACCTGTTTATAATTGAGAGTTTTTCAGATTGTGCATTAATAAATTGTCAGCATATAGTC